AAAAAATAACTGTGTCTACGCCAACTTCGTTTTATTAAAAGAACATGAACAAATATCAAGATAATAACAACAATCTTATTATGTCATTTTACATGTAAGACAAAATTAAGATAAACCTCTTTTTGTGTGGACTTTTSTCAATAAAGCTATTTAATTTGGAAAATTTTAAGAATAGAAACTGCTAACATGTCTTTAACAATATACTTAAAATAACGGTCTTTTTGTTAATGCAATGTTCAATGTTTAGATAACAATGTCAATGGTCATCATATTATCTACAGAATACGTCAATTTGACGTTTTCTTTGTACAGTAGTAGCTTCGAAATTTCTTCATCCATATTCTTCACTTGTACTTGTAGTATTTTTTGTAGTATCTCGTCGCCCATCTTGAGTGTAATGAGGTCTCCTGTTTCTTGTTGRGCTATCACAGTTAGAGTTATTCCGACATCAATATCCTCTTTCTTTATAATTCCGCAGTTAGTACACTTGGCTWCGTCGGGAKSGATGGCTTGAGGAATCTTCTTTTTACTCCATAAGCACTTGTTAAACTTTTCGAACTTTGGTACTCGTCGAAATGCTTTTACACTTACTGTAACGTTTTCAGCTCCTTCGAACTCTCTCGAATCTGAGGGATTTGCTACAATGTTCATATCCATATCAGACTGAAGGTGAATTGTTGTTTTCTGCGTTGTGGAAAGTTTCTTATTCCCAGACCACACGCGCACTTGAAGTGATTGGAATTCGTAAACTTCACCTTTAGCAAYCGATGAGACGTGGTCTTCCCAGATGTCAAGAGGAATGTGTGCACTTTCATCCGCAATTTGCGTTTCACAAAGTTTAAGTTTGTTCTTTCCAACAATGCGCGTTTCCTTMATTTTTGTAATCTGTCCTTTAACTGATACCGTCGCCCACTCCTTTGCTTCATTGAGCAAAATCTAGAATTGGAGTGGTCGGTATCGGAATGTWGGCCAATTCAGTGTATTGAAACTTGTATTCGCACTGTTGTGGCTTGGTTACTTGAGTTACGTCTTTAATGACTAGTTTTTCCTTGTCTTCGGTGTATGCATAATCTTTAAGTTTGACGGGAGTTCGGCTTTCTTGGTATTGTTGGAAGATAGGACGCTTTTGCTCCGAGAATAAAAGCGCTTCTACGCTGTCGGACTGCGAAGTTTGTAAAGTCAGAGAGGCGTATCGGAAATCTCCTTTCCCTTTACGGCTTCTTTTAATAGGTTTTGTACGTAGCCTATCACCATTCATCTTCACTTGCCTTTATCGTTGCTTCTTTTAGCTGGAGAGTATGACATCTTTGTCCAGCAGAACTTTATAAACACACCCAACACCAACAGTCGCGGAGCAAGATAACATGTGACTGCAAATTTATGACGGGGCAATTTACATAAAGTGTTCAAGTAATGCGATTGGCTTACTAGTGAAAAACGAACTTACCCCTGAGAAAAAACRTTGAATTTGAAGTGTGGCGTGATTTGATTGGTTCGTTTTATGCTCGATGTTGACGAATCACATTCGAGTATTTTGATCCATTGATCCTAATTTTTGGTAACTTTCGTGAATGTGTGTTGTTTAAAATGAATTTTCAGTTAGACAAATTCAACGCTACGAAATTAACTTAATAAAAAGAAATTTACCGTTTAGCGGTGTAGCCTTGGTCTGCTGACGGGTTTTATGGAATTCACCTTTGTCAGRACTGGGAAAGTATGGGCGAAATTGTTTTTGAAGCGGGTGCCGGAAATTTAAATGTCTTCCGACATGTATGGATTATGGATTATGTATGTAAAAGTGGATTTCATAGTTTAATTGATTTTTCTTGGTTGTGACATTTTATGGGTTCTTGGTTAGAAGACTAACTAATTCGTTAATAGTTGTGAAAAAAGATAAATTTAAAATCGTAAAAAAGTATGTGAAATAACTTACTGACGTTTCGGACGTTAATCTGTAAGCCAAAGACAGGTGCTTTTATTTTACTTTATTTCTGACAACAACTACATGTAAGTCAGTCGACTAAACTACAAACACACCCCCCGACACACAGACTCATCTTCATCGATCCCAGACCCCTTTCTCTTTCTAGGCCCTAGGCCCTCTCACACACTTCCCCTCTTAAAAAATGTTGTCCTCAACATTACAACAACTAAATAACATATGGCAAATTGGTTGCGCACGCCAAGATGTCTGACTCTGATAGGTCTACTGCCGGAGAAGTCTATACTGATTTGTTGCTATTCAACATTTTATATAGAGTTCCAACTGTTTGTATATCTTGTGTTTAAGGCAAAGCCTTATTGCATGTGTGTCCTTTCTCTTGTCCACTTTTGGATGATCCTTTAGTTTTGTCTCATTTGCTAGAATTACTTGTGAAGTTTGACCAAACCTTAGCTTGAGTGTGTCCATAGCTTCARCATATCTGTCACTTCCTGGCATGTATCCTTTCAATGCTTGTTCTGCACGTCCTTCTACCGAGTCGAGTAGTATCTGTAATAATTCCTTTYTGCTGTARCATTGATCTTCTTCTAARGCAGCAAATCTTGCTTGGAATTGGGCGAACTTGTCAGGGTTACCATCAAATTTTTTAATGTTCAKCGGTTTCATTCTMWGCAATGAACGAGCAAAGAGTTGAAGGTTATCTGTAACTTGAAGTGTATGATCTGTTTGSTTTGGCCTGGGCATATAGTACTGTTGTGGATTGTTATAAGGACTKCTATAAGGCCTGTCATTAGGGTTGTCATGGTTACATGCATGATAGCTATTTTGTTCCAGTTGACTGGGATACTYTTGTGGTGYAMAGTTATAGCTATAAGGGTTATAGCCCTGTGGTGAGGGACTGTATCTGTTCCAATGTGAGGCATTGGTTGTGATATCTTTATCTTGGGGGTCATGAGAGTTTTGACATGAAATATTTGAKTTAGGCGTAGTACCCATACTATTTTGAATTTCATTTGTATTTGAGACTGTAGTATTGCATGATGTATTTGGCTGATTTTGAGTGACTAGAGTAGTTTGATGTGGGACATTAGCCGTGGGCGTGGTCTCCTGGACATCTTGAGCATGACTATTACTATRTGAATCGACGTTGGCTGAGGGCGCTGTCATAATTTCATTTGAATTGTATAGTCTCTCAATTTTCTCACTCTCACTCTCTCTCTGGCAAACTATCAAGTATCTHATTGGTTACCTGACTGGTTTCTTCATCATACATACTTTCCTCAAGTTCTTTCAAATCATTTTCCTTTTCTGTGATTTGACGCTTAGCTTCAAGTTCTTGTTGTTTACCTTTGAGTTCACGTTCTTGTTTTGCTAAAGCCTCCTTTTCTTTCAGGTAGTCCAGTTCAGCTTGAAGTTTATCTCGTTGTGAACGATGACTTGAACGTTGACTTGAACGACGACTTGAACGGTGACTTAMATGTGAACATTTGGGGTGGCTGCTTCTTTCAGATGACATGAYTTCTTGTAAATTAGTTRAAGAAAAAATGTAGATATCGGGGCAGG